CCCTGGCCCCTGGCGGTTAGGCCCACCCGGGTAAAGCATCAGAGAATAGAGGCCTGTCCGTTATAGGAGACAGAGCCCCATTCAAAGTAAACAAAAACTTATCATATATTTGCATCTTGCAAATTTATAACCAAAAAATCTAGAGAACGGAAACCGTTCGGAGAAGGGAGTGTATACAGACCCGGTAACCGGGAACAAAATCACAAAGTACACACCCGGTAGGGGAACTCTTTTGTGATTTCGGAAAGTTTCAGCGCCCTCTTGGCTCAGGGTAGACCTAGGTTCTTCTAGATCTATGGCCTAGATCTAGATCTAGACAGACAGAGACATAAATCATTGATTTAGTTTAGAGGCTAGCCTAGATCTAGATCTAAATGACGATTGCCGATATCTTTTCGATGAACAATCGTTTTTCCTCTGTATTGGAGTTGGAGGAATCACAATTTGAAGAAAAGAACAATGTCATAATTTCAATCGAGCAGTCACCCCCTCTCTCTCTCTCTCCTGTGTATCGCCCGCCGTCTCTTTTTCTTTGTTTGTCTCTGTCTTTCTTTCTCCCCACCTATTTTTCACTCTGTCTTTCTTTCGTTCCCTCCTGCCAACTGGGGCATGTCATACATTTTGCTAGCACCCCCCCCCCCCCCTCTCTCTCTCTCTCACACACAGACACTACCGGGTCTGGGCGCTGAAACTTTCCGAAATCACAAAAGAGTTCCCCTACCGGGTCTGTACTTCGTGACTGTTCCCGGGTCTGTATACACTTCGTTCTGAAAAATAGTCACTTCGTATACATTTTGCTAGCTCGCCCCCCTGTTCTCTCTCTCTCTCTCTTACACACACACACACCAACACTAACTAACACGCACACACTAGATCTAGATCTACCTGGTCTGGGCGCTGAAACTTTCCGAAATCACAAAAGATTTCCAGCGCTTTTTCGGTAGTTCCCACCCCGCAATTGTTATTCGCTGGTTTTGGCCTCAAGAGTGGGGGGTTTTAGGGGGGCTTGCCCCCCTGTCCTAATAAAAATGTGGTGGGGGGTTTCAGGGGTGCATGCCCCCCTGAATTTTACCATAATTTGATGTTTTGCAGTTGTTAGGTTTGATATCTTAGCTCGCATCAAACGTATAGATCTCGATGTAGGTCAGGCTCAAAATATAAGGGGGGTGGGAACTACCGAAAAAGCACCAGATTTCCTGTACCGGGTCCACTATTAGATCTAGACTCTAAATCTAGATCTACTGCGCGACTTTGATGTTCCTGGTTACCGGGTCTGTACACACTTCGAAAACTAAAATTCTTATGTAAACAACAAAAAAAAAAAAAATCCCTAGCGTCCCCCCCCCCCCTGTTCACACCAGACACACACACACAACAAACACACAAACTTGACAAACACACACTGACCACTTCATTCGCAAATAACCCAACAAATTTCGAGATGGTAAACCGTTCGGAGAAATAGAGTTCAAGTTTATTTTCCCGAGCATTCGGAGAAATAGAATCTAGATCTAGAGCCGGCCAAAAAAAACCCAAAAAAAACGTCGTTCCCTGGCCCCTGGCGGTTTTAATGCCTACCCGGGTAAAGTACCGTAAAGCATAGCAGACAGTGTAGACTAGAGGTCTGTCCGTTATTTGGAGACGGCCCCATTGAGGATTCAAAGTAAACAAAAACGTAACATATATTTGCATACGAACCTGTAGCCTGTGTGCACCTTTTGTTCTTTGCTGTCGGAGTTGATGCACTCACTCAAGGAAGATAAAACAGAAGCAGTTCGCTGAAAATGATGAGTTCACTGGCGCGCGTCGATACACACAGAAACGAGACCCGCTTTCACTCAGTCGGTCAGTCAGGCCTTTCAGTTAGGGCTGCCAGGTTAATTAGAAATGAGAAGCCAAAATTGAAAAGAACCTTGGATCAAAAACCAGCCCAACATTTTAAGTGCGGCTTTGTTTTTCATTGTGCACGTGTAACATTACACATTAGCCTATTATTATTATCATAGAAATGAATGTGCACATTTCATATTTTGCCATTTATGAAACTCAAATGATTCAGTCACATTATTTAAAGCCATATAAATGGCAGTTACCTAACTATAAAAGGGAGAGGATAAGTTTGTTTTGCCTTTTTGAGTCGTCAGTAAACTTTCGCTACGTGTGTATCATTTAAAAAAATTTCAGTGAAGGCCTAAAAATATTATTTTTCGTATTCTACTCCACCCCACTCCCAATAAGATACGAAGCACCAAGTAGACGCAGTTACTAGAACTACGAGTATTTGCGACAAGCAATCCGTCTCCGTCTAAGATAATAGACCATGTTTATTGTTTGGCCTATAATATATTATATAGGTCTATGTATGTTCACATTATCACAGGAGATCGGTCCACACCACCAACTGTTATAAGTGAAAATGAAGTAGGCCTATGGTGACAAGTTGTTTTTTTCCCTGAGGGAGAAGAATCGGGTGGACTTTAGGTATAGCAGTTATGCTGTCCTCCAACTGTACGAATTTGGAAGACAACATTTTGTACAGCTATCCCAAGGCCACGGTGTTGAGCATATCCGTAGGCCTACCAAAATGTGCATTGCCATGCGCAGTTAGGAATTAGGAGTAAGCTACAGATGATTTCACTGTACACCCCTGAAAGCATGCTTTTGTGAGGTGTGTAGACCACGGCAAGATGACAAGAACAGGCAGCTGCATCAGCTCTAGTAATGAATAATGGGGGATGGGGAAGGAGAGAGAGAGAGAGAGAGAGAGAGAGAGAGAGAGAGAGAGAGAGAGAGAGAGAGAGAGAGAGAGAGAGAGAGAGAAGAGAGAGAGAGAGGGGGGGGAGAAAGTTTGTGTTTGTTTATGCAAGAGAGAGAGAGAGATGGAGAGAGAGAGAAAGAGAGAGAGAGAGAGAAAGAGAGAGAGAGGGGGGGGGGAGGAGGAAGAGAGAGAGGGAGAGAGAAAGTAAAAAATTGTCCATAATTTTCTAAAATCTGCATATTATATTGCTGAAGATGACTAACTTCACTGTGTGCTTCCCAGGAAGTTGAGATTGCTTCAGAATGTTTAGGTCTGCTGGGGGTAATTCTGTAGATTGTAAAGCGCACAGAGCTTGCTGATGAGCGGGAATTTGCGCTATACAAATTAAATACCAAAATAATATGCTATCTATACAGTGGTGTCCACGGTCACTTGATTGAGACAATAAGAAAGACAGAGAAAATAAAAGCAAGCCACGTCGTTCTGTCGCTTACAAACCTTGCAAATGCTGAGGGTGGTTCTTTTTATTTTTTCATGTTCTTCTTCTCAAACGATCACCAAACAGTTGATGGGGGGCTCTGGTGGCCCAGAGGTTAAGGAGTTAACCTCTCATTCAAAGGTCCCGGGTTCGAATCCGGGTAGCGACCGAAACATTAAAATTTCTTCTCTAAAATTATCTCCATTCTCCTTTTTCCCTGCTCTCTAGCAATATTCTGTCGTCTGCTTTCGTCTCCACTTTCTGCCCTCACCCCCTCACCTCCTTTACCACTTCTTCTCGGCTCTTTACTCTTTCTGCGGCCTTGCTACTGCTATTCCTTGACTCCTTCTTACCTGCTGTCTTTCAGCCACACCCCTGATCTTCTGGAAGGAAAGACCTACACCTAACCTTCTCGGACAAGGGCGAAAAATCTCGGAGGTATCGTGTGCAGGTTGCGCACGTTAAAGATCCACTGATGATCTAAAATCGATAATATAAGAGTAAGCTTCGGCCACCACCCGGGCAAAATTCAAAATTTCCTACCAACCGAAAAATATTTAATGTGTCCCGTGTGCTCAGCTGTGTACTAACCACACTCCTATATGGAGCTGAATGCTGGAGGATGACTGATCATGACCGTGCCAAGCTATCTTCCTTTCATATAACCAGCTTGCGCCAAATCCTCAGAATCTTCTGGCCCGACAAGATTTTCAACGCAGATCTGTTATGTAAGTGTAGGCAAGAGGACAAGACAACCATAATAAAAAGGAGAAGGTGGAGATGGATTGGACATGTTCTGAGAAGAGAACCAGACTATATTGTGAAGACTGCCCTCCACTGGACACCCGAAGGACGTCACAAAAGGGGCAGACCCAAAGTGACCTGGAGACGCACAGTAGAGTCTGAAATGAAGTCCTGGAATCATTCGTGGGGAACGCTGACCAAGATGGGCCAAAACAGACAGAACTGGAGATCCATTGTTGCTTCCCTAAAAGCCAGATGGCGTAATGGGTAGTAAGTAAGTGAGTGTGCTCATATGACCTTATGCAGTTGCGAGCGCCGTAAAACACTAAGGCCTCCCCCCAAAAAAACAAAACAACCCCCCCCCCCAAAAAAACAACAACAACCCCTAAACCCCAGTTGATCTTCTGTTAGGGGCTAAGAATATACACCAAATAAATAATTAAAAAAATAAAATAAACATAGACTATATTACTCCCGCTTTTTGAAGAAATATACAAATTGACCCCCCCCCCCCCCACAAAAAACACAAAAAATAAAATGAAATAAAAGCAACCAACCAACAAACAAACAAAACGAAAACGCAACAAATTAACAACAAACCAACCATAACTAAAAATAGAGATCAAAACATAAGTCAAAGTCACAGAAAGACTGGTGCTCAAATAAGAATTATAATGGATCAGTCAAAACTAAAGGAACAAAGCTATGAAAAGAAAAAGAAGCAACTCTACAATATCAAACCGAACCATTACAAACACATTCCCCAAAAACTTAAGCCTTGAACTAAACATGTAAACCATCGTAGTTCTACATGTCTATATGCAATGCACATTTTCAATACATGTCATAGGTGCTCTGCAGAGTAGAAAGTAGAAAATTACTAGCCTTGGCCGAGATTTGTCCGAAACGGCCAACCAGACAACCCGGGACCTTTATTGATTGAAAAATTGCGCGCGCATCATTTATGCCAAACATCATTGATTGGTCGACAGTAGCCAAGCCAAGATTTTGTCGACAATTAATTTGAAACAGAAACCTAAAGGCTTGTCTTGGCCCACCGCTATAAATTTGTTTATTTATATTCTCCATCTGGTTAACACTGCATGTTCAAGGGACCAAACTCATTATTTATTGATGCATTCTATTCAAATAAATTACTATATTATTTTGCGTGCGGTAATGATACACTTCCCGGAAGTACCCTTTCAAACTGAACTTTCACCTTTAACCTTCCTTTCATTTTCTGCTGTTTTTGTCCATGGCGGGATTCTTGTTTTGCTAAATTTGCTGACGACAGAGAGATCAGATTGACTTTAATCTATAGATCAAGGCCTCCTCTCATCTTTGAAAAATCCCATTCGTTTTCCTTGCATTGAATGGGTGGCAGATGGCTTGTTGACACAGTCTGATTTGTCAGCATTCTTTTCACGTCCGTTCTTTTCATCGGTATTTAATCTTATCGGATAGAATAGGCCTGCTGGACTAAAACTAAACTAAGAGATCAACAATCTGCGTGCGTTGTGAGTGTATTTTTTAGTTTGTTCTCTACTGTATAGAGGCCTATAGATCTAGATTCTATATCTAGATCTAGATCTAGATCTAGATCTAGATCTAGGCCTATTTTGTCTTTTGATTATCGCAGTGGCTAGATCTACGTGAATGTAGTTGGCAGGCTACATTCACGGCGCCACTGACTGCAGTTTTCAGGCGCTGTTGACAACAGTTGACTGTTGAGGCTACGGCCACGGTAGTGCTGGGCGGTTAGGTTCCCGGTTATTGAAAGCTAGAAATCGTAGGAATCGACTCAGAACCCAATTACTTTCTTTCAAATGATGTGATTTCTTCCGGTGGTTACCTGGTTGGCTCGGAACATCTTCAGGGTTTATGATAACATTGCTTTCGGAACACAACGAAGCATCAACTTTAAAAAAATAATTTTTTAAAAAAATGGAAGAAGATTTTAATGATCAATGTAACTGGTAACCTCCATTGGTTTACATAAAAAGGAGTCTGAATTTTTCTTACATAGCATTAATCGTGGGAATCGGTTCCGGAATCAATCCTTCGCCCAGCTCTAGTTCACGGCGCTCAAGCCCTCAAGCTTCATTAAGAAGGTTAGATGGAGTGATGGAGCGTCTACTGCCGGTTTTAGTCAGTGACGTCTAGATCTAGATCTAGATTTAGATCTAGATTCTAGATCTAGATTTCTAGATCTAGATTTAGATCTAGATCTATATTGAATATTTTGGCCTACTTTAAGTGTTCCATAATCCTTGACCGATCGACCATTCGTCGTTTTCCCTTACACTGAACACTGGCTCAGAGCTCGCGGTGATCTTTTACTTTAGCACGTTAAATTCCTAAAGTCTACTAATCCCCGACTCAGACCTTCAAAACTTTGAACTGGACCTAAAAATACTAAAAATGCGCAAACTACCGTAATTTTGTCATGACATGAACTGATGGCATAACAGTGGTTTTCGGTCTTCCATCATGATTTTAGAAGCCATTGAGTAATCTAAATTCTAGATTTAAATTGGTCGCTTGTTGCGAAAGTCCTCCCAGTTAAGGGAATAAATCAATTGAAGAATTTAAGGTGCTAAAGTATAAGATCACCGAGCTCGCCAGTGTAAGGGAAAACGATGAACTCTCAATTATGCAACAACGCGTTGATATGAAAAAAATGTATCTTTACATGCCTACCAAGATGTTTCATACATGCGGATAACTTTAGAACGACAGATGTACGCCATTGGCCAATATTTATAGTAACAACCTTTTTGTTTGACATCATTGAGTGAGGGATTCCCACTTTGTTGTCGTTCACGGTGGCAACACAACCGCAAAGCACAATTGCAGTATTTTTAAAGCCTGTAGCCTACAGTGGCATGGTGGCGGAGTGGTTAGTGCGCTTGTCTCCAAAGCAGAAAGTCCAAGCTCGAGCCTCGGTTCGGCCAAAAAATTTTTTTTCGCTCACTAATGGGTACCTGACTTCGAGTTGGGAAGTGAAGGGACATCAAACAAGATGGTTGTTACCATAAATATCGGCCAGTGGCGTACATTTGTCATTCTAAAGTTATCCGCATGTATGTTTCATTGCTCTATCTCACATGTGGCTGAGGGGAGGGGGTGGATATCTAGTTTGTCACATTGAGTGACATTACATAGTGACAGTAACATGTAGTCTGTATCTCTGCCGACTTCCCATGCCCGAAACTGGCTTTTAGCCCGAGACCACTTTAATGCTAGGCCTATCTACACTCATCATGCCTGTTGGGAAAGAATTAAATTGCTGCGGGGGGGCTCTCGTGGCCTAGAGGTTAAGGTATTCGCCTCTCATTCAAAGGTCCCGGGTTCGAATCTGGGTATGGGTAGAGTCTTTTTACCTCTCCTTTCCTGTTCTCTAGCAATATTCTGTCGTCTGCTTTCGTCTCCACTTTACTTTCTGCCCCCACCCCCTCACCTCCTTTGCCCTCTCCTCTGGGCTTCTGACTCTTTCTGCAGCTTTTCTACTGCTACTCCTTGACTCCTTCTTACTGCTGTCTTTCAGCCACACCCCTGTCTTCTGGCAGGGTTGGTGATTTTTTTGATTTTTTAAATTAAAAAAAAAAAATTGATTTTTAAAATTTAATTCAGATTTTTTAAATTTAAATCGGATTTTTTGGATTTTTTGAATTTAAATAAAAATGTCGACACAGTTTGGGATTTTTGGAGGCTAAAAGTAAGTTCTTTTAGTGCAAAATGCATTGTCTTTATTTTAACTAATGATTAATTTAAGCAACTGCAATTTTAGAAAGCCTTAATCTGCTATATCAGTGAGTTATGGCTGCAAACAAAAAATAAAGAAAATGTCAGTCTAAAAGGAAGGGGGGGGGGGGGTAATTATGCATAGATAAACTTGCATTTTATTACAGTGTGTGTGTGTGCGCGCGCGCTTGTGTTTGTCTAAAAAGAAAAAGAAAATGCTAATTTCAGTTATGAAAAAAAAGTAAATTGAATACTGTATTATTTTACTACTTACAGTGACAGGGGGGAAGCAGACTTTTAAGCATGATTATTTTAGTCTACTAAACCTTATATCTGTTTTATAACACCAAGGAAAGGAATTCTGAATGTTTAAAGTAGATGTAAAAACAGAATACATTTTTTAAAAGTGATTTAAATCACAGTTCTATTTTTAAAATCAAGTTGATTAAAATAAAAAAAATCAACTGATTTAAATCAACCCAGCTCTGATTTCAATTATGAAAAAAAAAGTAAATTGAATACTGTATTATTTTACAGTGAAAGGGGGGAAAGCAGACTTTTAAGCATCATGATTATATTAGTCTACTAAACCTTATATCTGTTTTATGAAACCAAGGAAAGGAATTCTGAATGTTGAAATGTGTAAAAACTGAATAAAATTACATTTAAAAAAAAGTGATTTAAATCACTGATTTTTATTTAAAAAATCAAGTTGATTTAAATAAAAAAAATCTACTGATTTAAATCAACTTGATTTAAATCAACCCAACCCTGTCTTCTGGTAGGAAAGATCTACACCTAGCCTTCTCGGACGAGGGCGAAAAATTTCGGAGGTCCCGTGTGCAAGTTGCGTACGTTAAAGATCCCTTGGTTGTCTATATCAATTATAAAGCTTCGGCCGCCTCCCGCGCAAAACTGAAAATTTTCTACCAACAGAAAATGTTTATTGTGTCCTTTGCGCTCAAATAACTTGCGAGCGCTGTAAAACACTTACTCCCCCCCCCCCCCAAAAAAAAGAATTAATGCTGCTTGTGAATTTCTTTTTATGTTAATCTCTGGGTTCCTCTTAGATTCCCATTGCCATTAGTCGTTTTTGTGTTTTGTGTGGTATTACATTTATGCAACCCTTGTAACAGTATCACACAAGTTATCTCAAAGTAATTTTCTTTGTTCATGATAGCATTCTAGATCAGGATCTTTAATGCTGCTAAGAATTTAATGTTGTGGAACATGGGGGTTACAGATTATGAATATTTTTTTTTTTTTTTCAGCTTCTCCCGTTTGAGAAACGGTGTGGCATGCCTACTCACGATGTCTGTGGGGTTCCAGTGAACTTTCCTTTCGAGCCTTATGAATGCCAAGTGGACTACATGACAAAAGTTGTCACTTGCCTTCAAAAGGTTGGTTACGTCTTTTGAAGGGTAGGGACAGGTGTTTTACTTTTTCACTTTGTTCATTCTCCTCTACATTTTCTTCTAATTGTAGTCTAGGAAAAGATAGGACATGAAGGGTCTCATACTTGTACAAATGATTACATATATTTTCTATTGTGTGTTCAAAACAGTTCATGTTTCGACATGGAATCAGTTTGACTGGTTAATTGATAATAATGTGCCTGAATTTCATAGTCAATATCATCATATTTAATATCGAACCAAGTCCTATTTTATATCTCAGTTATCTTTGCTGATTTAGAGATTTATAGTGTGCATTTAAAGCTTTAAAGCTTCTACTATTTCCTTGCAGTAAATCTTTACTTTTCTGTGGCTGTCTAGCAATTCTGCATGACTTCCTCTTTGGAAGTGTGTGTATCATACCCATTATTTTTTTTTTTATAATAGAGGGTTTTACGGCGCTTGCAACTGCATAAGGTCATATGACCGCCAAGGGGTGGGTGTCAACAGAGAAGTCTTTACAGGGAATCAGACTTAGACTGCTCACCTCTCTAGCTTCAACAGCACAAGGTCTGCTTCGACTATCAAGGCACCCCAAAATAGCAGGTCACAAGAGAGTAACAAACATACAAATGAAGTAGAGGAAAATGACAATAGTAAGGATCAGGAAAGAAAAAGCAGCAGTTCTCTGTTGTTGTAGATCAGGCACAGTTATGAGCGTGACATGAGTCAGCCCATTTACAATTCTACTATGCTTGAACGAGAAATGTCCTTCCTTTGGGAATGGCCTAAAGACACTTCAGTTAGTGGCACTGCCCCGGAGAGCTCAAGTACTGTCAGAAGCTCTGTAATTAAAAGCATATATATTATATTGCAATTAGCTGTAATGACTGTCGACTTTGGAAGTAAATCAGGTTGTATTGCTTAATTCTTTGTTTTCAATTGTAATACATGTACTCTTGAAAATTTGCTTTTTACAACTTTCTGTGAATAATCAGCTAGTGCAAGTATCATAATTCTTTGTTAGAGTATGTTATAGCAGCTATCTTAATGATTCAATTGTAGATCTACACATTGAATAACATCTTTTATTTCTAGAGTCAAAATGGAGCCCTTGAAAGTCCTACTGGTACTGGGAAAACTTTGTCTCTTTTATGTGCCTCTCTGGCCTGGCAAGAAAGTCGGAAAGCTCAGGTTGAGTTGAACAAACAGGCGGGTATTGCCGCTGCTCTCTCTTCGTCAACACTTGGTGCTGGGGATGCAGTCTTGGATAAGTTGAATGGAAGCCTTCAGACAGCAGCTGGTTCATCATGGGGCTCTGATGAGTTCTGTATGTTGTTGTGAAATGTGTTTCATTTTCTCATAGTTGCATGCTTTATATTCATTTAATGTTTCTTGGAAAGGTCATATTATAATTATGACACTTTAGAAATGAATTTTGTATTCTTTATGTAGTTTAAAATTGGCCTGATAGAATGTTCAAAGCCTGATTGGCAACTAGTCAATTTTACTTATAATCACAGATCATCATTTTTTAGACATTTTTGAAGGGACAAAAACTTACTATGAAATTGGTTCAGATCAAAATGAGAGGGTTTTCCAGTTAATCCTTAATATTTTAAAGTTATGCAATGAAAAATGCAGTTTCAGACCTTGACAATGTATTGGTTTCTTCTTAACACCTTGATTTGTGCTTTCCAGATATCTGTAATGTTGACAATATTTATTTTTGTACTTGTGCTTTGCTTTCCCAGTTGTTCCGAGAATCATTTATGCTTCGAGAACCCATTCTCAACTTTCTCAGGCAGTCCAGGAATTGAAAAAGACAACATATAATCAGTGAGTTTGGGAGGGGTGTCATTTGATGATGTCTACCGAGAAGAATAGTTTTACTTGTAATGTGAATGATAAAGAAATTCTTGCATTTATTTAACACACTTTGAAAAGTGACCACTGCCAAATTTTCTTTTGCGAAAGATGTATCGAAAGACCCAGGCTTTTGTTGCCAAAGTTTCAAGACTGTGGAAGTATTAGCGAAACTGGAATAGTTGTTCCATGAACTCGATTTAAATCAACTTTAGAGCGTGTTAAAAGAGGGCAGAAGATCATGGCGAAATGAAGGGTGGAAGTCACTGTAGTGTCAAAACAAAGTGGTGAAAGGATATTTGTAACATCTAAAAGAACATAAGATGATGCAACAGAATGCAGAACAATGATTACTTTATTGTTCTTTTTGGCCTGCATTGGCTTAAATAGTTTCTTGCTACATCATTGCAGGACATGAGATGTAGAAAGATGGAATGCTTATGGTATAATTTGTTGGAAGAGAACAATTTCTACCTACCACAGCATTTTCACAGACTTTACTATACTGTTTATTGCATAAACAAAAGTAGGCGACTTGTATTGAGTGAGAATAAGCATTCATGTTTAAAGGTCAAATTGTTCAGTGACTGCTATGTACTACATAATGTAGTATGTATGGAATGTTTTTTAGAAATAGTTATTTAAATGAAGTATTGATTCATTTTGTATAAGATTGCATTGGTATTTATTTATGTTATTCTGTTGATGTGATTAGGTGTTGAAGTCAACTTGGGCCTGAGCCATTTATTTTGTTTTGTATTTCAGTGTAAAGACTTCTGTGATTGGATCAAGAGAGCAGTTGTGTATTCATCCACAAGTTCAGAAAGCCACAAGCAATGCTGGGAAGGTATGGCTCATTCTAACTTAGAGAGGGCTTGAGAAAATGAATGTTTGTTGTTTGTAGAGCAGCAGGATATATGTAATAAAAGAAACATTTGATTTGTCTACATATAAAATTTATGATACTCAGGAATGTTTGCATTGAATTGTACAAAAATGCCTTCAATGATGCAGTGTTTGAAAAATATTCATAGTACACCTGATTGGTCACTAAAGGTGCAGTTTGTTACAAACTGGACAGACATTGACAAACCTAGTTTGTGGAAGATTTTTCTCTCTGTGCATTGTTCTTATGGGGAAATAGATGCGGCGTCTTCACAATAACATTTATTCTGTGTGGGAAGGCATCCACACAATCCTGGCCAACTGCACTGTTCAGGGCTCACATGGATGGGGTAACAGCTACCTCCAGTTCTCCCTCAACCCCCCATCCCTTCCTCGACGACTGGCTGCTTGTGTAAAGGTTGGAGCTGTTGGAACCACATTTGAGAGTTTTGTTTCAAATCAAAACTGAGCAGACAAAACATTTTCTGTCTTTGACAAGTCAGAACCCTCCATTAGGAGGGAATTTCTCTTTCTGTTTCCTTGTTGAGCAGGTTACCCTGTTAGACAGATAATGTTTAAAGAAGAATTTTTCAATGGGGGAGTGGGAAGATTCCTTTAAGACAGGTCTCTGACTTGGACATGTTTCCATGAAGGCGTGGTTTGACTGTACCTCACAAAGACATGCTGTATGGAAGATGGATCTAGACCTGTGAGAGCACCGGGTTGTGGGAAAAGAGAGCATGCCATTGAGTAAAGCTGGGCATTGAGTCGCTTTAGCAATATCCGGATAATATATTAGTGCACTTCTTCGGCGATTAAATGTGTTACGAACCGCTTCAGCGAATGGGTAAGAACCATTTCAACAAATGGGGGCACCCACTTCGTCAAACTGGTCATGAAAGAGAGTTTAAGAATCTGAATTCGGATAATGTTTTACTGAGAATTATCCGGTTATCCGGATTTTGCCCACCACTACCATTGAGTGTTGTCAATGTTGGCAAATAGTGAAAAGGATTCAGAAAAACTGATCAGTTGTAGATGGAGAGGATTTTCCATATATAATCTATAAGTGTCACTTTTCACTGTTATATCACAGTGTACAAATTTTAGTTTGAAAATTCCAAAATTTACTTAAGCAGGTGAAACCATGCCTGAAGAATCTACTTGACAGGAAAAGGATTAAATTGCTGGCAGTGGAATTGCCAGCTTTATGATGATCTTGAAGTTGCAATAGAGAAATTCAAAATCTGTGATACTGATCTGATATAATCTGTTCTTTCAACAGGTCCAAATGTGCCGCCTGAAGGTTGCCTCAAGACAGTGCCATTATTACAACAATATTGATGGTAACAGGTTTTTTTCCTGCTCCACAATAGACAGACCATCATTTTTGTAAAACTAAAAAGACAGAGGTCCGTTTGACTCAAAGCTTGCAGTAGACAGCTTTTTAGAGCAATGATCAAAGGTGGTGACCATTCAGTCTGCTGAGTGATCTATGAACACAAGTTCTTGCAAACTTGAGAATATTTGTTTTCTTTTATTCTTGTATTCTATCAATCATTTTATGCATTCTATTCACACCAAGCTTGTATAAAGTGTTTACTGTTTCTACATTTGTAGAAATATCCAAATTCGTTTTACTTGTTTTGTACATTTGATAAAAACTCCCCCCAAAACTGAAAAGTAATGAAGAGCTGATAGTGCTGGTTTACTGTACTTACAGAATTCAAGAAGAAAAGTGACCTGAGAAAGATGATGGGGTCAGTTGTGGACATTGAGGACATTGTTAAAGTGGGACACAAAAGCAAGTAAGGGAGTAATTGTCTTGTTGGTGGTGTATTGCAGTGAGCTTTGCACTTTGTTCAAGTATGCTTTGGACACCAGATGATACTTGCGGAGGAGAAGATTTTAGATTGAATTTTGTTTACAGTATGCAACCTTTCCTGAAAAAGTTATGTTTTTAGGCCATATCTTATCACCTGTTTGTATGTAAAGTGAGATACTCGATTTATTACTTACTCTTATATTATAGAACACACTCACATATATTTAACACGTTTTTGAGGGTCTGGGTCTGGAAGTCCGTTTTTGTGTGGGAAAATACATATACAGTCGAACCTGCCCTGACGGCCACCTCTATAAGACGACCACCTGTACAAACGGACACTTTCCATTTCCATCCTTGCGTTTTTTCTATATAATTTAACTGTGTAAAACGGGCACCTGTCCAACGTGGCTGCGGCCACCATATTTCAACACACAACCCCTATCACACAAAGCAATAACACCTGTCTTAGACGGCCACCTTTGTGACTCCATAATGCTTTGTCATAAATCAAGCATTGGCCCCTGGCGTTGTGGGCGAGCCGTCATAATCTAAAAACCTGTCGTTGTTAGGTAGTCCCTCCAACTGATCATGTTCAGTAGGCCCCTCCCACTGTTGAACAATAGGTAACCAAAATTAATTTTCAGCTGCTGGGGAGGGAAGCGTGTGATCCCTCATAACCCATTAGCCCCGCCCAGAACACGTACACAAATCGTAAGTGAGATGAGTGGTCACTGCATGTTTACCCAGTCTGTAACAAAGTAACAATGGACGTCTGAATGAGCTTGTGACAGAAGCGTCGCTCTTCTCCGTGTCGTGGCGACCCGTGTGTTTGTTTTACCATGGCACTTAGTCCCCCTTGTCTGACACATTTCGTTTTACTGTCACCCGTTCACAAAAGCAGCAACAAAAGAAAAACCCCCCAGCGAAAACAACAGCAACAAAAATAACAACAAACAACAATGCAACTACCTTTGGTTGGGACCTCAGAAAGGAAGGGTTTGGTTTCTCAGAAAGGAATGGTTTGTTTTCTTCATCTTGATCAGTCCTGCCTAAGACGGCCACCTGTCTTATACGGCCACTTTTCTCCTTGACAGTGGGTGGCCGTCTTACACAGGTTCGACAGTACTCTGATTTCTAATATGGTTCATAACGGTCTTGCGGCTGCTGAAGAAAAATTGTGAACTTTCAGACCAGGTTTGCCAATAATAGTGAGTTGGAGATCTTTACTAATTGGTCACATCATTGTTTCTGATCTGACTTGAATAGTATGAATTTATTGAACGCAGAAAATGTGTGTGGAGGGTTTGGAGTGGGGCTTACTTGGCCAGTGCCTGCCATCTTTACACAACATGTTGGTAGAGTCTGTTTTGAAAACAGAAAAGTTGGCAGCTATGCACATATGGCTTTACCTCCAATGTTTCATATTTAATAAATGGGAACAGCATGATTCTTTTCAGACCCAGTTCCATTATGATCTACTGTGCCAGCCACTAAATATTGATTTGAATGGTAAAAAATATTTGTATGATTTTTTCAGAACCTGTCCCTATTACATGGCTCGTGAGTTAAAGTCGGACTCTGATATTGTTTTCATGCCATACAACTATTTATTGGATGCTAAGGTATGTATGTGGATATATATATTAAAAAAATTTGTGTGTGCCTAAAGAAAAGTAATGTGCAATATCTGAAAGACTTCTTGAGATATCTCAAAAATTAAAAAAACAGCGTGTTCAGCATTGAATGTCCAATTAAGAACAACCCTTAACTCAAAATGGTTAAAATTCGACTTTTGGTACCTTTCTCTAGGCACACACACACATTGAAAAGAGTATGTATCTAGACGTGCTGGTATCAGTAAAGTAACTCTGAAACTGCTTGTTCAAGTGATCATATTATTTGTTGAATTTTTGTGGGTGACAGGAGGCCATCATGATCATCATCATCATCATCTGCCTCTTTCACCATGATATTGGATGTGCGCTGTCAAGAAGGGCTCTCCAACTGTCTCTGTGCTGGGTAATCTTTTCTACCTCCAACCTCCTGTACCCCATGTGCCTGAGATCTGCGTCCAGATCCTGTTTCTAGGCAGATCTCAGCCTTCCTCTCTTACTTTTCTCCGGGAGATTCCATCTTGGGCGATGTGTTGGACAGAAGGCCAGGAGATGGAAATATAATGAAGTGTGCATAGTACTTATTTATTAACACCATTTGTGCTGCAACTCCCGCCGTGAAATGCGCAGCAGGTTTAGGAGGCTATGCCTGGTTTGAAGGGTTCTCGCTTGGACTGGTGGTGAATATTGTTGACTGGTTTATCTTGTTACATTTATGTAATGTATATGTACAGTCAAACTTGTCCAAAACGATCCCAATGGAGCCAGAACAAAATTGCGTCATAGACATTTCCCATTTTGGACAGGGAAATTTAATCCCCCCTTCCCCTCTTCCTTGCCTTGTGGCATGGTGTAAAGGTTAGAGCCGATGGAACCAAGCTTGGTAGTTTTGTTTCAAATCGAGGCTGAGCAAGCGAAGCATTTTTCATCTTTGACAGTTGAAACGCTCTGAAGGGAAGGAGTTTTTCTTCTGGTTTCGGGGTTGAGCAGGTTTCCGTTTTTATAGAGGTAATTATAGAGAAATTTGTCAAGGGGAAAGCAGGGAGTTTCCTTCTTGGACAGATTTCCATGAAGGTCGACAGTTGCAACTGTACTATCGTATATTTTGTCTTTTTTCTTTTAGTCGAGGAAAGCCCATGGAGTGGAGCTGCAAGGTAGTGTCATCATCTTTGATGAAGCCCACAATCTGGTAAGGCTGAAGTCTCACTGCTGTCTGTGATCATGTTGTCATTGTTTCATCTGAAATACTAGTGAAGGCCCACCTTATAAACTGAGATGTTTCCCTTTAGGTGGAAATTTATAGTTTCTAAAGGTAAGTATTTGCATTGGCGTGGGCTTCTGGGTAAACAAATTTCTTTGTTTATACGTACATCAATTTATTCATGAGTGCCCTTTGTTGTAAATTTGTCACCTTGATAAATGTAAAGTGAATGGTCATCTCTTTTTGACCTGGTTCAGGTAGGTGTTGCTCTAGATGGCTGAAGCAATTAATAGCAAATATTCGTGCAAAATATTTGGAATTGGAATTGTTAAGTTGGTCAAAATTTAAAACACTTGTCATGGCAAAGTGCAGGAAGAAGACTAATCATATTCTACTGCTGATATCATCAATATTAAAATTATATACTTTAAAAAAAACTTCAAATGCAAAGTTCTAACGCTATAATTTCCTTTAGTTCAGTGCTTTGTTTATGTTGTTGGTCAAAGAAGACTGTCTTATAATATGACAACTCTTGAGGGGCTATGAACTGTTCATTCAGTCCTTGGATGAGAACGGAAAGTACAACTTTTAAAGACATTTCAAAGAAGAATCTGGTTGAAGGTGAGAATGTGCAAAAGTTGTCGTTTTGGTCACAGTTTAAGGATCATGTGTGTTACTTGCATGTGGCAACTACTCTGCTGTTTTTAAAATTTTAATTATTACATGCATGCAGGTAAAGGAATATAGTTAAATATAGTTTCTTCGATTTGGTTCTTTGTAGGAAAAGATCTGTGAAGAATCTGCATCGTTTGACTTGAGTTCTATGGACTTAGCCACAGCTATAGAAGAAACAACAAAACTGGCAGAGAAAGTGGCTGAAATGTGCTCTGTAGAGTCGATGCTCCCTGAGTCGGAAGACTCAGCTGTTAGTAAGTGTGACAAATGATGTACGTCAATGTTCTTTATTTTACTTTAAACACAAATTATATTTTGATTAGCAAGAAACCTGTTTCATGTCTTTTCACCATTTCACTGCCTACTTTTGGTAGGTTTTTGAATTGTCCTTTATTCCATAAGTAAACTTCTGTCATTTGAGCCGTCTCCGACACTGAGGTGCTCCAGCAGACTAAGATGGAGAGCATCCATGCCATTCTAGGGTGTTCCCTGATATGGTGGGCTGGCTATGTACATCGCATGGACGGCTTTCGCCTCCCAAAAAAATGAGTCTCTGGTGAGCTGATTTCAGGCAAATGCTCACTCGGTGGACAGAAAAACACTCTAAAGGTACCCTGGAGGCATCCCTAAAGCAATGTGACTTTTCCTAATACCACCTGGGAAGAAGATGCTCAAGACAGACTGCCTTGTCTGGTTCTCCTTACTAAAATCTGGAGTTGCTGAATTTAAAGACAGACACTTCAGGTACTAAGAACAGAGGTGTGGGCGGAGAAAAGACAGAAGAGAGAGCCTCGCCTTTCAGCCTGGTCCAGCCCTACACATCCCCTGCCCCCATTACAACAGAGATTTGATCACTTTTAAGCACAAGGGGGCTATCCCGAAAAATGCTGTTTTGAGAAAATCAAAGGTAAAGTTTTGCCTCTTGTTCAGTTTCTTTGAAAGACAAGGAGAGTTTTCTCTATTACCAAACAAATAAACACACCCTTGAAACCAAACTTCTCCTATAGGTAGGGCATTGCCCACTTTGGTGTTAGTAAAGTTTTCTAGAAACCCCCGAAATCTGGGTTAGCCCGCTTGTCCTTAAAAACGACCATTTATGGGTGAAGATTGGCCTGATCAGCCGTCTCATGTACACACCTTATCCTCCAGTGACACTAAGGGAGGAGGTGGCGTCAAGTGTTCTGCCTCTCAATGAATAATCAATGGAGTTAGTTTATATGCGTGACAAAGCTAAAGAAATTTTAAAAAATTAATCAAGTTGTGTGTGTTTCCAAGTAGGTAACTCAGTACAGTCGAACTTGCCGGTGTGGGTCTCTGACACCTTTGCATTTTTCCTACATTTTAAATCTGTCCATAGTGGTACGTGTCCCAACGTGGCCCCGGTCAGTCATTTTCACGACACATTGGCCTTAAAACCTGCTCATAACGGTCACTTGCTACAACAGTTTTCAGACCCCTTTGAAATTCAATGGCATGTTTCTTGGAAAAAGCAGGGCTTTGTTATCTGTGATAGATATACATTTGGTGTACAGTTTGTCAAGATATTTTTGTGCAGATGGGTAATTTCTCTGATATTTTTTCATTTGCAGTTCCTGAGTTCAACTTGGAGGATGTTGTCCGCTTGAAAAGTAGGTTTTTGTGTTTGTGTGATATTTTTGTCAGTTTTTTGCTGTGCTGGTTGGAAATTATGTCTATTCAATTCCAGAATGTCGTTGACTTTGTCTAAAGTATGTGCAGTTGTACTGGGAAAAGATGTGATGATCTTGTGGCTAATTGCCCATGTATGCCAGGTAATGCTGATTGACATATGTGCGAGAAAAAGATTGATATTTTGTACTCTGTTGCTTCGTATTGTGTCTTCAGGTAGTAAAGCCTTTGCTTCTACTCTTTTTTCTTGTGTATCGAGACGTCTTGATTTTCATCTTTCTGAAGCCAACAGAATAAAGTACTGCATTGTGGGAATTGTGGGGACTCTTATCTTATCACTTTGTTACTTTGTTCTTCCTTTAGTTTGTATATTGCTGGTACAAAATATTTTTCTATTTCTTTGAAGAAACTTTACTTGAGATAGAGGAAAAACTGGAAGAGATTGACATCCCGTCAGCTGACAAGGGCAAAACTTTGAATGGCACGTAAGTGAAAATGTGGTATCATTATACTGAGGGAAAGCTATTGAGATTTAAAAAACGTTGCACCTCTTTCATTTGATTGTTGAGGAAAAGGAAATTAATCTTATTTGATGTTTCAAATGAATTGTTTTTAATATATGAACTCTTATTTTGGTAAGTGTTTTTCAGTGTTCACAACTGCATAAGGTCATATGATCGTGCATTCTTACTTCGAATTTCGAACAATAGTGACAATGACTTGCAAGCATAATATGAGAGTCATTCACATAGGTAAGAGTTTAATTGCGGCAAGAGAAAGCCAGCCGGTAGCCGGCGACAGCTGCCCTTGACTGGACTAGCGTCGATCTCGTGAAGCATGGGTTTCTGTCGTTTACCTGACAATTGTCTCAAATAGGTCTGACTCAGCTGCTTGAGTTCAAGCATAAATTGACAGTACGAGGGTGATTCTATTATTTTTTCAGGCAAAGCCCCTTGATATCATGCTATGACTATGAGTTTGAAAGTTTTCAAGCAAAATGGTTGTGACCAACTTTTACCCATGGTCATGGAATAAGTTCAGTCTTTTACCCTGACTGAAAGAAGCATGCTAGAAAGTTGAAATTTGATGCTCACAATGCTACTTCTCTACTTATTTTTAATTTTAATTGATGTCGAAAAATGAGCTCAAAATGTGCTTTGCTGCATGTCTCATTAAAGATTTTCTTCACAAGCTGAGTTATGTCAACATATTATAATATAGAATGCCTTTACCTGCCTGTTAGTACTGCCGGTTTCGAAGTGTAGGTACAATTTTATAAAGTTCAACATTTTTTTTCTCTTTTTTGAAAAATATTTCTTTCTAGGCTTAGAACATTTGAACAGCTTGCTGATACTGTTCTTTTGTCTTCGTTTTCTATGCAGGTTCATTTTTGAACTTCTGTCACAAGTGAACATCAACTGGTCAACAAAAAATGTTCTTCTGGATGTGCTGGACAAGATGACAAATTTTCTAGGGAATGATGGTCAGTTGAATGATTTTGTGCCAGATTAATGAATGCAAACATGGGAGTTTGGTGTTAAAAACACTGCATAGATGAGTTTTTGCAGGCTGTTGTATTTCATACTTGTTGTTCTTGAACTCTCTAAGCTTTGAGGTAAATTCTTGTTTGATTACAGTATTGTAGGGGGATGTCAGCAAGTTACACAATTTCCTATTACCATGTTGCAGTGCTTATGTTCTAATTATTGCAATGTTTCTTGGCAAATTATTGATTTCTTATGTTTTATGTGAATAGCTTTTAACTATGAAAGAACCTTAGACTGTGACATTTTAACATGGTCCAGTTTACACTGATGTAAAAGTGAATACCAATGGGCAGAGCTTGCTGCTGGTTGTAAAGTGACCAGAATTTTGATGTCCAGATATTTATATATTCCCACTATGTTGAACGCTGGCCTAAAGATTACTAAAACCTATAAAAGTACGGAGCAGATGGGAGCAGGGTTGTTTTCAACAAAAGTGGACATTGTCTTCTGTGTTGTGAGGCTTGCATTATTATATGTAGGCCTACTTGTAGATATGTAAAAATATCAATGACTTTCTAATGGCAATGTCAGTGAATTTCACAACTCATCAGACTTTTGGCTTACAGTGAAAAGAGCTCATGTGACAATGGAAGTATTTTTTGTGTTTTCATTACAGACGGAAGTTCCATCTTGAATACTAAAGGTGCTGGTCTCTCAAAAGTGGCGGATTGCCTGAAGGTCAGAATTTGTAAAAAGACGATGTGTTGTATAACTCAATGTTTTTGGTTCTGTAGCTCTAGAGCTTTGACCTATTTCTGTAGTGTCTCGTTGTAGAATTCATTGTTTCAGGGTGGGGTTCTGTTTCATTTTTCAAGTGCAGGGGTTGTTTGTGTGGGAGAACTCACCGATACGTCACAGCCCTGTCACAGGGACAAATTGTTGTATAATTGTATCACGAGAAATTCTCGAGTAAAGACACGAAATTGATTCTTTATTGTAAAAAGCCAAAAGTTTTTCCTCTTTGTCATTTGCTGATGTCATTTATGAGGGTAACCATGTGTTGATTACCATAGATTTTAAATGAATGTCGATTACCTTTTTTCCCCCTCTTCTCACTTTTCATATTTTGTCGTACTGGTCAGGGTTTTTTCTTTAACTTCTAGTTTCTATAACAATTCAAAATGGTCGTCTGCATTTAAATTATTCAGGTCTTGGGATGATTCAGAGGCAGGTCTTATGAAGTCAGATCTTGCAATTTTTCAATAGATAGAGATAGATAGACAGAGATAGCGAGAGAGGATGGGAGAGAGAGAGAAAGAGAGAGACAGATGCGGGTGGGACATCGGGTCAAAAATCGAATTTTCATCGATTATTCAATTTTGATGAATTTCGATTGTTCAACCATTTCTTCACATCATCATATAATCAGTTATACTAAAGAAAGTTCTCTTCCTGACATAAATTGCCCTTGAAGTGTGTAGGTATAGGTCTTTCCTCTTGTGTTTTGTTGAAAAACAACTCATAAACTGAACCAAGTAACGTCATAATTAAAAAAACACATTGCATCCTTCCCTGAGGTGTTTGGTATCGCTGTTTAGCTCATTTTCCATTTTTTGCGTTTCCGGAATCGACACTTTGCTAGAAAGCGTGGGAACAAAATAATAAGAAACTGAGTGAATAAAACTTTTGGTCGTTTTTTGTGATTTTCTCATTTTGCAAATTTTTTCCACTGAAGTTCGTATTATTTTTTGTGAACCGAATTGGATGAAACTTTGTACACAGGTCTATTATGATGTTTTGCACAGTCATACAATAGTAACATTTGTTTTGTAAAATACTTTTTAAGAAAAAAATTTTTTGAACTGCCCTACCCACTTCAATTGTCATTACTGTGCGTACACTAAAGTGAAGAAGCCTTAAAATCTTTGAAATTGCTTTAATTGAAAATCCATGTTGTATGAATTTAGATCTTAGTTTGTTTCATGTCCTCACAAAATTTGAAGAAGATTGGTGTACAATTAATTGAGCAAGAAACTTCTCAATTGATGAATTTTCGTCATTTTGGGACCATTATTCGCCTCTGTCGGCTAAGGACTGTCAAAAATGTGAGTTTTGAATCTTTTTTCTCAATCTCTATACCACCTAATGTGTAATTTTAATGTTAAGCCAAGTATGAAAGGTCTTCATTTCAAGATAGAAATATCAGCAGCATATTCCCTTAAAATTTTCAGTTTCTAATACTTTTAATTTTATGACTCTTGAATCAGATTGTCTTCAGCCAAGAACCACGGGATTCCATGGCCCTGTCCACTCATGAGAAATTCCTAGCACAGCATTTCAAGGTAGGATCTTTGAGACTGACATTTCAAAGTCTTAGTTTTCTGTCAATTTATGCAGGATCTTTTAATGATGTTGTTTGAATATAATGATTTTTCCTTTCGCAAATGATGAAAAAAAAGGCCTTCCATTAAAGAACTTGAGGTTGCAGTGTTTGGGAGCCTAGCCAGTGTGTTTGTATATTAAATTGCTTATGTATTAGTATTCTTAGAAATAATCATTTCATCATGTGTTTAAATCTGTTTGAACAATGTTAGGCGACTATTTTTCAAAATGTACCAATTTTTTGTTCTGTTTTAAAGTGTAGTCCATTTGGAAATTTATGCAGTTTCTGTTATCTTTCTATTTCTGTTTCTTGTTTTTTAGGTTCACATTCAGCAGAAAGACCCAAACAATCAGTTCAAGAAAAATATGGACTCATGGTCTCATGCAGGGAACTCAAATAAGAAAGGTGAGAAACAAGAGTATATGTGTCACGACGCAGTGGAATCAGGCACTCGTTAATTTTTGGGCATATGGAGTTTTTTGTATCACCTTAAAGGTTGTTCATTTGCCTTGCTTTTGATGAAAAAATATTCATTTATCTTGAATAGAAGTCGAGATATTTCGGATTGAAGGAAGTGGGGTGGCCTGGTTTCAGAAATAAAATTAACGAGAAAATGGTCACCAAAGTTTAATGACCAATAGCATAAGAGTCCTTGGAAACGCAAATTTAGATTTTTGTGCCTTTAATCAACCTTTTTCCATAAAATCCATACATAAAAGTGTTTTTCAAATGGACATACAAGGTGTTGAGCCAAAAAACAAAAATTTGAAATAAAATTCCAAACTGGCCAAAAACCGCCGATTTCTCAAATTTAATTATTTTGACGAGTGCCTGATTTCACCACAATGCCTCACATATAGTGGAGTCTACTTAAACTGAGCACAGTTAATCCGAAAACATGAAACAAGAAATTTCAAAACGCAATTTTATAAGACTTCTATTTAAGCAACCTCTCTAAACCTCTGTAAGACCCCCCGCGGCAGTGCCACTGACTGTAGTGTCTTTAGGCCATTCCCAAAGGGGGGACATTTCTCGTTCAAGCATAGTAGAATTGTAAATGGGCTGACTCATGTCACGCTCATAACTGCCTGATATACAACAGGGAACTGCTGCTTTTCCTTTCCTGATCCTCACTATTGTCATTTTCCTCTACTTCTTTTGTATATTTGTCACTCTCTTGTGACCTGCTATTCCGGGGTGCCTTGATAGTTGAAGCAGACTTTGGGCTGTTGAAGCTGGAGAGGTGAGCAGTCTAAGTCTGATTCCCTGTAAAGACTTTTCTGCTGACACCCACCCCTTGGCGCTCATTTGACCTTATGCAGTTGCGAGCGCCGTAAAACCCTCTACTATTAAAAATTATTTAAACCTCTGTAAACAGAAGAAAATCTGGCAGCTCCACAGATTTTGGTTTAAGTGGACTCTACTGTATATTTGAATGACTGTCGTTTAAGCAAAGTTTGGGAATGCAATTGTTTACTTGTATCGAAAAAATAACATTGGGCTTCTGTTTGTGACCTGAAATCGGTACCTTTCCATCTGTCCACAGCTGAACGCATCTTGAGCTACTGGTGTTTCAGTCCTGGTCACACCATGAAGGATCTACTCGCACACGGGGTCAAGGTCATTATTCTCACCAGTGGCACTCTCTCGCCACTGGATTCGTTCGCAATGGAAATGCAAATGTAAGTGATTTTTATGACTGACACATATTTTTCAAAAGAGCGGATGCCACTTTATAAAAAATTTTCAGAATGCTGGAAATACAGAATTTTTCACTTTCAATGTCTGTTTGACAATGTGCCTCCTGTTGTATGTGAATGATTTCCCATATTTAATGTACTAATGAGAAAGTACATTTTTTAAAAATCAAGTGAATAAACTGAGCTTGACCTCTTGTTTCTATGAACGGTATATTATTTTCAGGAAAGGGTTCTTTGATGAAGATGGATTGCTGAGTTGCATCCTTTATACTAGGATAACATTTCTGATGTTTGTTTTTTTCCCCTTCATTCTGTTTTGGAGGATTTTCTTGTTACCTAAAAGTTTAAGATTGTCATATGGTTGATTGTCTTTTGTTGATTTCAGACCCTTCCCTGTGCGGCTTGAAAACCCTCATGTGATAGAAAAAGACCAGGTGTGGCTAGGGACAGTGTGTAAAGGACCAGATGGGGTCACCCTCAACTCAGAGTACAAGAACAGGTGACTGATCTTACGGTTGATTATATTTGAACAATATTGAGGAGACAAACTTCTTTGTCTATCAAGACCAACTAAGTCTGAGTGGAGTACACTGCTGTAAGCTGACAAAAGACCTTATTTCATTTTTAGTGCCAAATTTTTTTATTTGCTAATTCGAAAGCTGATCAGTTACCCTACCTGTGTGAACAAAAAACCGAAGTGAAACTGTGACTAGTTTTTGAATAAATTTGAATTCAAATTTGGGAAGAACTCTATTTTTCAATGGTTACGCTGACAAAAGACCTCTTTTTCTCGAAAGTGCTGTGAGTGAAAAAAGAGGTTTTTTGTCAGTTTATGGCAGTACAAGTACAGTGTACCAACTGAAAGGCAAAAATACTTTAAAAAATATACTTCCTTATGCAGGACTCGGACTCCTCCTCTATTTCTCTGCAAGCATTACAGCTTGTTGTTTCATAGTGTCAATAGTAATTCAAATCTCTGTGACAGTGCTGCATTGCAAAAATTCACACTAAACAGAAGCCTAAAACTACTGGTTTTCTCTTGCATCCCAAACAAGACACAACACTCACACACGTGTTCTCTCATATATATTGATTAAAGAAAAAAAACACAACCAAACCCAGACCAAAAGGGAATTCTCCTTTTATTGAGTACGATTTCTCTCTGAATTTGTGAGCTTCACTGTAGAATAAACAAATGAAACTAACTGGTATTAGTTCAGTTATGCTCTAAAAATCTGCCTAACAACATGGTCTGCATAAGAACTTCTTTATTAAGCATAGCAACGACCCTGTTCTTTGGTGTAGTCCATTGTGCAACTTACTGGGTGGTTGGCGGGTGCTTTGGTGTGGTTTGCTTCTTCTTTCCTATCAAACCTCTGTCGTCCTTATCTCCCCTCTTTCTTTTTTGTGTTTGTTGCTCTCTTGTAACACCTTTAATCTTCGGCACTTATATGATCTTATTGTGTTGCAAGTGCCGTGAAACTTTTACTAAAACTATAAAAGAACTTACTGCTAACATTATTAAAGAGTAATTTTCTTTTTTTTTCTTTTTCTCCACAGAAACAATGAAGATTATCAGAATTCCCTTGGATACTCCATCAGTAAGACCCTAAGTTATTACTCCATGTTGGTGATTTGAAAGTAACAATGAGTGCTCTTCTCTTGAAAAGGTTAAGATTACCAACAAAGAGTTTTATGTGATTTTACCCTCAGGTATCAGCAAAAAATTCTTTTGTGTCTGGGATTTTTTGTGTTTTTGCTATGGGTCTTAAAGATCCGTAAATTTGACCCGAAATCGTAGCTCAATTACTGGCTATGAAACAGTAGATCAAACACCTCAGCAGCACTCCTTATGGCTGATTAAATCTGTTCATGACACTGAAGAGGGGGTTAAATACCCCTAAATATGGAGTTTCTTTTTATTTTGATAAATGGTAGTTTTTCTTCCTCCTGCTTTTGAATGATTGGTTTTCCTTTTATGGTACTTGCTAATTTATGGGTAGCACTTCCAGAAAATACAATTAGTAATTAATTATTTATGATGAATAATTCAATGCGGAGTCACAGTGCGCTTCTCTTTAAATCAAGTACTTTTTTTTCAATATTGTAGACGGGAATTGGATGACTTTGACAAAATTTAATGTGTTGGTCTAAAAATATTTACATTGTGAGTTGGCTTACATTGAATGTAGTTGACAAGTGTTAATATTGTCCAATTGTTTGATATGTTTCTATTTTAAGCGATGTGTTGATTTTTAGCCAAAACACAATATGTTGTCTATGTATTGCTACCTGCATTTGTGAAGCACTTAGAACTTGTGTTCTTTGATCAGGTTAGAGCGCTATGCACATGTCATATATTAATAGTATTATCCTTATATTTTCAGGAAATTTTGCCAGAATCGTTCCAAATGGTTTGCTTGTGTTTTTTCCATCATACCCAGTCATGGAACGCTGCATAGAAAAATGGAAGGTAGATATTTCATACATTAATGGATTTTTCACTGAGGTGGAAAATTTGAATGTTTCATTTTTCATTGTTGTTGTTGATCCAGCAATCTCAGAGCATGTAGATAGATCAGTTCGTATTATGTTGGACCACAGGGCTGACGACCCAGGTTTAAATCCCTGGTGAAGCATTCTTGAACATAGTTTGTTTGACGGACCTTTCAAGTCTCTCCATCCTCTTGTATATGTTTTTTTCCTGAGATGGATGGTTAATTTGGAGATCCTATTTCTTAGGAATCCATTACACTATTTACAGGGACCTTACAGTTAAATGTTAACTATTTCCTAAGGGTCCAATACTGGTTTTTTTTTTTTTCAATTTGAAGATACTCTTGGTTTCTATTTGTTGGTTGTGTCATGTATAGGCTTTTGTCTATATTAGAAATGAGGGCAAGATGTCATGGGTCTTACAGATTGGAAAAGCAAATGATGTAACACAAACACATCATTTAAAAAAATCTAGATTTGTCCTGTTTAGGTTGCAGAGTTGCAGAGCAGGGGTAATTGGAGGGGGAAGTTTATATCTGACCCTTTCTTTAAAGGGTCTTTATGCTGGTTTTTTACCAAAAATTTTGTTCTTAGATCAAAATGACATTTTTTTTCTGTTTCAAAATGTCTAGTTATTTGTGTTTTTGTTATGTGCATATCGTGAACAATTTGGTTTCGACATTTTTTTAGCAATGTAATAAATGTTGTGATAGATGTTTGGTATCCCTGACCATTACCAGGTTAAATTTCTCTTGTGACTTCTAGTTTGTTTAGATTGAAGAGAATACTGAACACTCTTGCAATTTGCTTTTGGCTTGGAAATTTCTTTGTAAAAGTTTTCTGAATGGCTTTACTTTATAAAGTTTTCGCTATGACACTTGTATTCACACACTTTGTCTTTCTTTAGCTGATACAAAATATACATTGGAGTGCGCTCAAACTGAAATCTCTTGGACTGCTGGGATTTCTTTGGTTTAGCTAGGTTTTGGGTTTGGAGAGGCTGCTCAAGAATCAGGGATTATATTTTCTTGCGGTTGACTGCTGTTTTTGGATTAACTGTGTTTGGTTTATGTGAACTTCTCTGTATATTGTTACGTCTTTAATTCTGTAATGGTATCAGTTGAGTTGCACATACTTCAGTCACCACTTAATTTTGTCAGGTTACTTAAACGCCTCACCCCCCGGGGCGGTGCCACTAAGTGAAGTGTCTTTAGGGACATTCCTCATTCTATTTCACTGTAGAATTGTAAATGGGCTGATCTAACAATGTCAATGCTCATAACTGTGCCTGAACTACAACAGGGAACTGCTGCTTTTTCTTTCCTAATCCTTACTATCGTCATTTTACTCTACTTCTTTTGTATGTTTGTCACCCTCTTGTGACCCGCTATTTCCGGGATGCCTTGATAGTCGAAGCAGACTTTATGCTGTTGA